TTGTAAGCCTGCTCGCTCGCTTTATTTGCTCGAATTAAGACAAAAAACCAAAAAATTCAAACTGGATTTTCTCGACACTGAGACTTTTTTCTGAAATTTTTTAATGTCGTTCAAATCACGACTATAAAGGCTTTAATATGATTTATCACTCAACCCTCTCCGATGATTATTTGTGGTATTTTTTGCGTGGAAAACAAAAAGAAAAAAAGAAAAAACTAAAACAGACCCGGAAACAAAGTTCTTCCCCACTTTCAATGGTCGGAACAATTATGTAAACAAATTTGTTTTCCTTGAGGTAAGTTGAAGGTCAAGTTTAAACTATTGGTTTAAATTACAGTAAAAAAGTGAAAAACTCTGATGATATTAGCGTATTTCACCAAAATTTCTAAGTTGACTTAGATTTCGCAAATGAATCTAACAGCAGCGCATTCAGAGCAGAGAACTCTCAACCGCCTGCTAAACAAACTACTGACGTTTGTAATTGTCTCGAGAGTTTTTTGTTTACCTGAAATTTAAACATTGAATGTTTCAGTTTTTAAACATTCATTTTAGAAAATTAAAATCTGAACCAGTGGGTTAATAAAACACTCTTCTTCTCTTTGCATTTTAAAACTGGTTGAATTCCGAGTGAATCGAAAGAATCTAGAGAGTTTAGCGCATCTGAAACCATTCAATAATGTCTCCCAAACTAGTTACGAAACTGAAAAAGATGCGCTAATTTCTTGTTTAATAACTTAAGTTCAAGTTAAAGTCCAAAAAATGCAGTCAAATCCATTTGTTTTTGTGCCTTGAATTTGCTGCTTCTCTGTTGAGACTTCTAGCTTGGGTTAGGTGACCAAATTATAATCAACACAAGTAGTGCAGAGTGCAGAGCTAACGCCTGCCACCCAGAAGAGTAAAATTAGATTTATCAGAACGATTTTCCCCTACGAACGATTTTTCCTCTACAGGGTTTGAACACATTTGCCACATGTTTCTACGCAACTAATAAGCGAAACTCTAAAAGCGAGTAAATTGATAGAATTTAAAACTGGTTCACCGAGCGGTCTAGAACAATGTTTAGAAATTGCGCAGACCCGTAGTCTGCGCAAGTGTTGAGTCCCCCAAAATCAATTTTGTTGCACCGAACCAGAATAAGTATATAATTAAGACTTATAGCAAAACGTAGAAAAATGACCTTGTCTGGCACATTTTTGTCATCTGTACGTGAGTTACCGTGTATCGCAAAAAATTGCTACCAATGTTAACAGGTTCTATCCGTGAATTTGTCAATTTTGTTAAAATATTTTTAATTTTGTATAGACTAAATTCTGCGTTTTATGCCACTCCCAGAATAAATTCAATTTGTTTGAACAAAATCTCAACCAAATAATCTATAATTGCCAATTATCTGTGACTGTGAGATTTCTTTCATTCAACCAATGGGTCATTTTATTATTGAGAAATTCTTGGAGAAAACACAAAAATATTTATCAAGACACAAATATAATAATTTTCGTTTTATGGAAAAAATGCTAGTGATACAAGTTTCAATTGAGGGAGTGCGCGCCAAAAAAAATTCGACTTTGTCAAACCTTTTCAAAATGTGTTCCCTGTTTTTTTGAAAGATTTTACGGTAAACGAGTTTGGTCTTAAAATTTGGACTTAAAAAAAGGTCATCAAAATTTACTAGATTCACCCCTGATTTTAATGAAAAATTACGAACATTGATTGAACATTGTAAATCTAAAAATTTATAGCCAGTTTTTTTCTTGCTGTCATTCTTTTGTGACTAGTGCTGTGAAACCTCAGATTTGAGATAAATTGTCTGAAATATTTGACACGTAATCCGGGGCGGATCTAAGTTTTCTCGAGGGGGAAGCTAATTTTCAATAAAATTTCGAAAGTTTGTCGACCTTCTGTTAGCTCGACCAAATTGATTTTCTGAGCTCTCTCAAATTACTATAAAGACCCCATATTCACCAAATTTTGTATATCGAAGGCCAATTTTATAATACAAACAGGCCAAAAAGGCGCTTAATGGCACTTCTGGAAAAATTAGACCAAAAAAACGCGTTTTTTCGGCGCGCTCTTCCCCCCCCCCCTAAAAATTAGTGTATATTCGCTCCAATGGCGCCTTCAGAAAAATTTAGGGTCAGTCAGCCAAAAATGGAGATCTCAAAACAGTACATAGGGGGCCCTTTGGATCGGCAGGGGGTCGAATCCCTGAAAGGGGGCATCTACCCCCCCCCCCCCTAAATCCGCTGGTGCATGTAATTAGAGGAGGGCCTCTGATAACTGATATTGGCAAGGATTTCCATCAGTATGTCATATTTCTAAGTGGCCAAAAAATTAATAGTGCGTTTGGATGGTGTAGATTGCATTATTGCCTATTTTCAAAGCTGCGAACATGCTGGAACTTTGGGCGAAGGCCTTTAAAAAAAATGTCTTACGTTTTTTTGATCCGACCATTTGAAAAATGGGGAGGAACTTTGTATTCGGGTGTGTTTTGTTTTTTTTTTCAGTTTTTTTAATCTTTTTTTCAAGCAAAATCAGTTACCACATACAATCATCAAAGAGAATAGAGTGATATATCTTATTAAACCACTTTTAGTCGTAATTCGAACGACATTAAAAAAAAATTCCATTGTCGAGAAAAACCAGTTTGAGCGAGTAAAGCGAGTGAGCACGCTTGTTTTATGCTTAATTTAAGCAATTTACAATAGCCTGAATCAGCTTAATTTTAATTTTAATTTTACACGAGTAATTTAATTTTTTGAGATTTTGAATGCCTTTTCGGGAATCAAAAACCTTGAATTTTGGTTTTTTTTTTTTCAATTTTTTTTTTCAATTTGTTTTGTAGTTTTAGTCATTTTTTTTTAAATTGTTGTCGTTTTTGTCTATATTACTATGACTGTCGAATATGCCTAAATTATAGTTTTATGTCAGATGCTTGTGTCACACCAGACAGAAAAAAACTAATTTGAACAAAAGTTTTTTTTGTAGATTTTTAAAGACTATGGTCGGAACATTCTGTGCTATTTGCACAGTAACCGGCTTTTCTCTTTTTTCTTTTCAAATTCCTGCAGTTAATTTTATTTGCTGATGAAAACTTGTTTTAGCGATGATAACCTTGTTTATATAACCAACCAAAAAAAATTTAAAACCGCCCTCATGTCTTTTTTGGGGTCTTTTTAATTATTCCGCACAAAAAACATTTATAACTTTTCAAACTACCCGCTACAGACAATTTTCATTTCAACCAATCAGATTTGAACATTTGGTTTTTGAATTTATGTTTCAATTATTACAGTTTTGGGCGGATTAAGTAAGAAAAAACTGTATGCTTGGGATGGCTAATGCGCATTATTGTTCCGACTTTCGATACGAAAGTAACGGATTATTTGTGCTCGGGGTGCGTTTTTTTTTCTTCAGACAAATTTCGACTTTTTAACTAGCCATTTTTGACGGATTTTTTTTATATAATTCAAAAGGTATTGTCGTCCTGAGCTCAAATTTGAAAAGATATTTCACCTGTGATCATTTTTCGTAAAGTTATGGGGGTTTAAACATTGCCATTTTGCCCAATTTGGGACAATTAACGCGCGATATATTTCGCGGTATTAACGCGTATGCGGAGAGTTAATCCCTCTTAAAATCGTTCCAAATTGGTTGAAAGAAGCTTATTTGCCATAATTGGTTTGTTACAAGGAGCTAAATCTATCTTTTTGTACTTTAAATGGCGTGTGGGGGGATGATTTTCATAAAAAATTTCAAATTAAAATTTTTATTTTTTTAATTTATTACATTTAATTTTTTAATGTTATTACTGCTCCATAAAACCTTAAAAGGCAGTCGGAACATTCAGGGCTTCGCCCTGATACGAGCAGTCTTGTTCTATCTCTTGTTCATTATATCAAAAACTCGATAGCAACTTCGCTAACAAGGCCAGTAAGTTAACTTCTTCGCAAAATAACAAAATAACAATTGAGTTTCGAATACAGTTAAATCCATTTCATGGTTTACTTCCATTTTAAGAAGTACTCTTTAATTCCGTGAATTACTGAACAAGACTGAAATTCCCCGCGACAGTCCCCCCCCCCTCCCTCCTGCCGCGTCAGTTTGACAGGACAACTTCAATTTATCGGCGCTCCAAATGGTGCAAGTAAAACAAATGTTATTCGTATCCATAAACAGTTCGAGCTTCGTCACATTAGTTTTCCTTTTGAAACTAATCTGGGAGTTAAAATCAGGTTTCACCATTGAAGAATTTATGTTTTGCACATGTTCGAGTTCACTGTTCACGGCAACTGTTAAATATTTGGGGCCCTGAATTCGAAAATGTTCACGAAGTTGTTCAAAATTGCCCTCAAAATTGTTCATGCTTGGACTATTTTGGGTTACTTTCAGTCAGTTAGTCAGGGGTTGAAATGGTTGGGAAACTGTCTGTCAAAACTGATCCTGCAAAGACTAAACCACCATGGCAGTTCTGTGGTCTCTGGCTAAATTAATCCCCGTTAATACCGTGCGGTAATCCCTGTAATTCTCTCAGGTTAAATTCTACCCCGTTAAAATCTATCCCTAAAATTTAAGAGCAATATATGAGTATTAAATTATATTGGGCTAAGATTTACTTTTTATTAAAACTTCTCGGGACAAGTTCTGTGGCCGTTTTCAGTACCACTGTTCTGTAATCCGTGTAACCTCAAACTATTGCAATCATATATACTTCCCCTCTATAAACGTCAATATTTCTAATCCCGATTCGAGACAATTTAAAACCGCTAATAAAATGGTACGCAGTGGTGCCATTTTGCTCTT